AGTGCGTCATAAACTACTTATTTCTCCCAAATGAGTGGTTATGTCTTTCTGAGTCATTTCAGTACTCACTATACGACGTGTGCTGTAATGATCGTCAACTGCGTTTGACTTACTTTGCCTCGGTCAGAGCACAAATGCTTAGCTTCCTCGACATCTCTGAACGGTTTCTATTGCCGAACGCGTACGCCGTGACTTATTCAACTCTTTAAGAATATTTATGCGTACTCCCTCGCATAATCAATAGTAACACAGTAAAATTTCATTAAATTGCCTTCAGGGAGTTCTTCAGGCCCCTTTCACGGAGAGCTGTTGCACCGGATATGTTTCCGCAATATGCAAGAAGGATATTTCCCGCGCTAGCGCTAAGCAAACGCTGTTTAAGCCAAACAACAGACGATATTGGACCACGTCTAAATGGACCTATACTGCATGACTCGACACTGGTTCTCCTCCGTAGAGATACCGTTTTACTCTGCTCCATAGGCCCCATTTATGTGTTTTCCTGTGGTCCGATCCTTGAAATGCTTGGTACAATTGCCTGTAAAGCACTCAGTGCTGACGAATTTGGCGTCTACACTGGCATTTTGCCACACTAGGTGGAGTCCACTTGCTTGGGAGTATTCTACCACTTCCAAGTTTATATCTTCGGTTATTTCTTTCTTTTTCGTCAGCAAATCAAACTGTGGTTGTCTGAAGTTTCTGCGACCTAAAGACAATGGTCTGTATTTTGGAAGGAGAGAAAATAAACATTATTACTCTGCTCATCAATGTATTTCATTTTTGCACATAACCTTTACATGGGCGGGTTTATTTTTTCTATATTTTTATATTACATTATTAAGTGGGCGTATTGCATAGATGTAAATATGTCATCAAATTTGTATTATTTGACATTTTTCGTACTCATTAGGGTGTATTTCCACAGCTCGTCTAACACCCATGTCTATCATGTCATCTCAGAGTAAATTCCCGTAGTTGCACTATTTGGCACTTACTGTTCTTCTTTGCTATTGGTTGTCTGTTCTATTGTTTACAAATCCGCTTCAAATGCGCACTTGGCGGTTTATTCCATTGCATTTTATTTATTGAACATTGTTTTATATTCATTTTTCAATTATCGGACTCAATTCCGTTGCTATATCTAGGCGTAGGAGAGGGAGTTAGACGGAAATCTATTTATTTTCAGTCTTATTGCATTCCGTCTGTTCTCTGTCCACGGTGATACCTCGCCCGCAAAACCCCTATTACCCCTATCTCCATATTACACTGGCCAGGAGTTACCGGGTACGAGGTGGAGCTGCACAACTTACCGTTACCCAACGATTCAGTTTAAAGCCCGGTTTCATTGAGAATCCATGCTGGAATTCAATAACAAGTCCTAATACACATGTTTTAATCTGCCACTGAAAGTACCCTGCCAACCTCTTAAATCCTACGCAGATGAAACCTTAGTTCGCGATCTATTTTCTTGGCATCGAGTATGACGTGTCGAGAAACGGAAAACCAAAGACAGCATGCTAGTTTGCACAAGCAGATTATTACCATCAGAACCTCGATTTGTGGTTGGTTTTCCACCGCTGGGCGAGAAGACTGTTTAGGTTTCTACAGACGAAAAATGACAGTGAGACGTATTATTTTGAGAGTGTTACAACACAGTAAACGGGGCAAACTTCCCGGGAGGCTACCACTCCGGATCCAAAATATGCACCGACCCTGAACTTAACTCCAATCCCAACCATCCCTTAACCCAGCCGTGATTCACCTGGAATTTAGTTCAAAGACACCTATAATAGGTGGGTTAACTCATGAAATGTCAACCGGAATTCTGAAATGCGTTTTCGTTTTGAAAAGATTACTTAAGTAGGGTTGTAAAACTAGTCAGCCTGCAACATAAGTCTATAATATTTCAGTCACCTCAGGATGCCGGCTTTCGAGTGGATTTCCTTTCGGCTGCATTAAAAGCCCACTTTATAAAAAATGACTACTTCAGTAGCATGCATTTTCCTCATTGATTATCGATGCCCCTAAAAGTCCATTTATATTTCATGTCACGTCATATCTCTGCATTTACCAATGTCGCTTGTAAAATTAACAATATGAATCAAATCCACTGCTAAATTTTATGAACCCCATATGGTCTCCTTTTAATACCGTAGAGAAATGTATTGTTTTCCGTACGCGGAAAATAAACGACTTGTAGCTGGGAAACTCTGAATTCAAGTGTAGCGGTAGGGCGGGTTCAAAAATATTCGAGAATTGAAAACGTTTTTTAAAATCGAATTAGACTCCTCCTTCGAGTATAAGATTTGAAGAATACACAATTATCTACCGACTGAGTAACAGAATGAATATTTTCATGCATGTTTTCAATGAAATATAATTGGACTTTTAGGGATACCGAAAAACAATGAGAAAAATTCATGCTACTGAAGTAGTCGTTTTTCACAGAGTAAAGTTTTTGCATGCAGCCGGAAGGAAGTTCATTCGAAAGCCGGCATCCTGAGGTAACTGAAATATTATAGAATTATGCTGCTCGAGGATTAGTTTTACAACCCTACTTAATTAACCTTTTCGAAATGAAAACGCATTTGGGAATTTCGGTTGACATTTCATGAGTTAGCCCACCTATTGTATATTGCGGAAATGTTAGCAGTTTTCGTCTCCTACCACCAAATCCAGTCTTTGCTCACTGCCTTTTTCAAGGAAGATGAAACAGCAGCTAAAGGCAGAAACCTCAGAGCACTATTGCATAAAACGTAGCGTACTTTGTATGTGAGACTACCCGGGGCAACTTTTAGACAAGGTCAAAGATTTAGTCGTTCCTCATCACAAAACAGGAGTGTTCCAAAATACCCCCCTCTTTTCATTATTAATAAAAACAAGGAGAATTTTGGTCCCGATATCCTGTTAATGCATCGGGCGCAAAAGTCTTGTACTCGTGGTTTAGCACAAAACTTTTACTGCTTATTTTGTATGGTGCGAAGAAATTAGATTTTTAAACATTACAGTAGGTGTTGACAATGAAATTAGGTACAATGGTTTTATTGAGCGATTTTTGGACCCGATCATCCGTTCGTCTCTTTCTGAAAGACCATGGACAGACACGCGAAAGAAGACCGTATAAAAACGTTGCTTAGTCTAGAGTTTCATTTCTAAATGCTTTTTTTAAAAGCTGTTTTTTATTCGGTTCCCTTGGCGTCAGTGGGGCTGCGATAACAAAAGGCCTAAATTCAGCTGGCATGCAAATGGACGGCTGAAGTTGCACAATGCATCTAATGCATCAAGGCAGCATAAGGGCATTAGTCCACTGGAGTGGGTTTTCAGCCCATTCTGCGAAATGGACTTAATTTTTTTGAAAAAAGCATTTCTTTCCAGGGAATTATCAGATCTGCTTAATGATTTTGTTGTCACTTAAAGCATGCCTTGGCTCCAAGTCAACCTCGTCTCCTGTTTGATGAATTAGTACTGACTTCCGTCGCGTGCTACTAACAAAGCATGCACGGAATTATTTTTCCGACGCCTTCCAAAAGCCCAATTTTGACAAAGAGCAGTTGGAATACATCAGCAAATTAACGCGACCAAAGAATCTGGTAAGTTCCCTGAAGGCGAGGATTTTTTAGGGCATTTAGCATATTTTGTGGGTTAGACCGGGAATCTACTCAAACGGATCGATTGCTTTCTCTCGCTACGCCAATTTCGCCGATTTCAAGTGGCCCATTAATCGCTGTTTAATGATGCAACAGCAACTCCTGACCGCATTCAACGCAATAATTTCCATTTTCAATAAAATACAATAAAAGATGCCATTTGTCTGAGTACCACCGGTCGCTTTAAGGAAAAATAATGGCGATTTACAATATCATCCTTAGCCAACTAATCGAGAAATGTTTAATTGATGGGCGCCGATCAAATGGCTCTATCCTCCTGAGGAGAAAACTGCTACTATTATAGATTATTAAGTAACCTGTGCGTAAACTCTGAGGACTAAAAATAAAAATAGGACGCGAATTACGTGAGCCTGGTAGTCATGTGGCGGATTCTAGGTGAATTACTTAGGAAATCCTGCTTGGGCAGTCAATTTACTGTATCAGATTTGGTGGATTCCAGACGTTGCAGTAGGTTGGGCGGGTAAACTTGACCCAAATGTGATTAAACTCGAGTCGTCCGGTGAGGCCTCGTTGGCTTTACTGAAGCCTTCTCCTTACTGCGTGGGTTCGATTCTCACCGAGGCGCCGAGTTTGTCGCAGTTGGGTCAATGTGAATTAGTCAAAATCTGCCAAAACATCTATGGTCTCCTCTTAATACCGTAACGAAGTGCATGGCTTTTCGTACACGGAAAATACACGGCTTGTAGTTTTGAAACCCTGAATGCAAGTGTTACAGCAGGTCGGGTTCAACATTGTTCGGGAATTGGAAGGGTTTTTGAAAACCAGATTATACTCTTCTTTCGACTATGAAATCGGTAGAAGACGTGGTTTCTATCCAGTAGGTAAAAGAATGAATATTGTTATGCATGCTTTCTCTGAAATATAATTGAATTTTTAAGGGCATCAAAAATCAACGGGAAAAACTTATGCTATTAAAGTAGTCATTTTTTGCGGAGTATAGTTCTTGCATGCAGTCGGACATAAGTTCACTCGAAAACCGGCCACAGGACTACACTGTGACTGCTTCGCTGGGCTCTGGAGTAAAGCAGGCTTTGCAGGGTTAGGTTTCACGTGTCTTTAGTGGAGCCATAAATCTGCTGACTTTCAGGATCACCGGCTTCGAACAGGTGACAGTCCTAATGTTATATGGTTTCGCGGGGTGCAGGGATGTCCAGTTGTGGGTCCATGTGATGGTCGTAGAAGGTCGCTTTCTTGCTTGAAGATGGTGACTACGCCTAACGCTTGTTAACTGGCGGTCAACTCTCATCTGTGACTCCTGGCAGCTAGGCTCTGCCCATCAACCACACTCCAGTGACCGCGTCGGCCAGCGGGTTGAACCAGGTAAGGGTATCCATGCTCTTCTTCCCCTTTTCCCTTCTCCTTCCATTCCCCTCCGTCCCTCCCCCTTCTTCTCTTCCCTTCTCCTCCACCCTCCTCCTCGCTCCTCTCCTCAGCCCTCCACCATCCCCTCCGGCCTTCTCCTCCTCCCTTCCCCTCTCCGCTTCTCCTTTCTCTCTTCTCTACTGTTTCCCTCGAGGTCGGAAAGCTCTACGGCGAGGGCGACATACAATCATATAGGTGGCCCAGACCAATTGGGTCTTTCTTCTACTAAACCAACTCGTGACACATTGTACAGAACGGCAGCCAACTGGTTCAGTTAAGCAGCTCCATTTGGGACAGCACTTCTTACCCCCGAGGGGGGGGGAGTTGGTTATAAAAGGTGTCCTAAACAAATGCTGGATTCACGACATCTGCGCGCAGACCGTTGCTCGCAGACTGCAATACCTGCGGTCGAAACCAGCAAACCAGAAACGATACTCTCGCTCATCCCTCTCCTCTTCCTCATCTTCCCCCCTCCGCCTCACCCGATAGGCTGCTAGTGTGAGTCTGCTCACTCTGGTAGCCCGGAATGTTCGTTCCCTTTAAGACAATCCCCGGAACAGCCAACGGGAACGGAGAACGCAGCTAGTCGTTTGGGAACTGGCCGGTTACAGGGTGGACATTGCTGCACTCAGCGAGGCCCGGTGCTCCGAAGAAGGTCAACTGGAGAAGGTGGTTGTCGGCTATACCTTCTTCTGGAACGAACGACTCAGGGCAGGGCGACTATATGCGGTAGTCGTCTTTGCCACCCGGAGGGACATCGCGGGACGACATCCCCGGCTGCCGCAAGGCATCAACGGCCAACTGATGAGCCTCCGCCTGCGTTTTCGGGAATCCAACTTCATCGTCATTATCAGCGCCTGCATCCTACCAGTGACTGGCTCAGAAGAGACAAAGACCAAGTTCTACGAAGGCCTGCACGCCTTTCTGGCGTCTGTGGCGAAGGCGGATATGTTGATTGTCCTTGATAACTTCAATGCCAGCGTCGGAGCACACTTCGCTGTCTGGAGTGAAATTCTGGGTCCTCACAGAATCGCCGGCTGCGGCGACGATGGCCTCTCTCTCTCTCCTGCGAACCTACGCTGAATAAAGCCTCCTGCTGACTAACACCTTCCTCCGCTTGCCGATGTGAAAGAAGGCCACCTGGTTGCACTCCTGATCCCGGCGCTGGCAGCTGATAGACTAAGTTCTCGTCCTACGGCGAGATCAGCAGGACGTGACGGTGACCAGGGCGATCTGTGACGATGAGGGCTGGGCGGACCACCGCTTCTTTATCTCCAAGATAAAGCTCCGGCGGCAAGCCCGTAGGAGGCCACAAGCTAAGCGACCCCCAGACAAGCTGAACACTGCTTTGTGGTCTTTGTCTGCCCACCGTTTACATTTCGACAAGCAACTGACCTAGCGGCTGGGAGACCTGCCAGCTGCGGACGAAAACGCCTCCGTGGAGACTCGGTGGTGACAACTGTGGAACGCCATTCATTCTACAGACCTGGGTGTCCCCTGCCGCGCACGTTGCCAGCACCAGGACTGGTTTGACGACAACGACATCGCCATCAGTTACCGAGAAGAACAGGCTGCACGAAGCCTGCCTCGGCCGTCCAACCAGTGCGGACAAAGCGGTCTTCTACCAATGTCACTGCCTAGCGCAGCAACGGTTGCGAGAAATACAAGATGCCTGGATGACTCTCAAGGCATTTTTTCTATGAAATATGTTTGAATCTTTAAAGGCCCCAAATCAGTGAAAAAAGGCACGCTACTTAAGTAGCCATTTTTTCGGAGTATGGTTTTTGGAATCAGCCAAAAAGAAGTTCGAATGTCAGCATCCTGTAGTAACTGAGTTACTGTGGGATTATTCTGCAAGATGATTGGTTTTACAACCGTACTTAATTAATATTTTCGAAACGGAAACGCATTTCGCAATTTCTGTTGAGATTTCATGAATTAGCCCACTTACTGTAGGTGTATTAGTCCGAGCTTTCGGTCTCGAACGAGAGGTCATCATCAGAGGCGTCAAATGAGCAGTTGATGTACACGCGCGCTCCTTTTTCGCGGCCAGTAGGCGAGACCCACCTCCCAGCCAAGGGCGACTGCAGTGACGCCGCCGTGAGACGGCGTGGAATCAGGCCTATCGCAAACGTCACCCCCCCACTCCTATCCCCCTTCTTTGTTTGGACTGCAAAACTGCTTATTTGACGCCGCACTCTCATAGTCTCTGATGATGACTTCTCGTACGAGACCGAAGGCTAAGACTTACACAAGTGCTGTGCCAGTGATCGGGAGTTTGCAACAAGAACCGGGGACTCGCATATTCGCTTCCGTTTAATAGTCTAACGTTCTCTGGATAAGGTCTGTTTTTTTACGTGGAAACAGTTTCAGCGTGATGTTAAAATAGAAAACATCTGCAAATTTCGACGGAAACTGCCGTTACCGTTTAGTCAGGCGATACCTCGCATTGATAATGGTTCTACATGGCAATCGTACATTTATCCGAACTTTCCTTCCGGAGGACATTAATAATAGCAGAAGACAGTAATACGGATTTCTAGGCGACGAAAGTCGAGCAAGGCAGGATGTTAGTATTCAGACAGCTTTCAGCAAAGGGAAAATTTATTTTCGAAAAATTCTGGGCCCTTTACGTTCATGGGCTGTAAAGCAATGGTAAGTTTGCTATCCGCAAAACCGAGCGAACTCATTTTCCTTCCGTCAATCACTATCTCGTTCAATGCAATCAAAAAATCTGCATCAAATTCTCGTAACACCATTCTGGAATACATAATCAAACAGTGGGCAGATGACTAGTTTCCAGCATCTTTTTAGCTCAGGACTATATAAAACGCTTTTTAAATGCTGCTATGTCGTGATGTTTAAACAGACTTTATGCACTTCTGCAAGCTTACGAACGTTTGAATTTTTGGCATTTCGCGTCATTTTAAAATTGTTTGTTTCTGATCTATATGGTACCACACTGAATGTTTTTGCGCTTCTATTTACTCAAAGGTTCTTTAATATTATTTGTGATTTCTGATGGCACATTCGGGTCGGTTTTAGAAGATTTTTCCATGAAGTTATACAAATTTCAGACATTATATCGCTCTCTGCAGAAAAAATCAGCGAGGGCTATATCTGGCTCGAATATTCCCATCAACTGGTCCAATCTAAACGCCAGAGTCAATGGTGAATAACTAGAGCGGGTTTGAATGATCTTTAATGATATGTGGGTAGGATTTGTGTGCAAGAGCACGATGATACTTGTCACTCTAGTCAATGATGCACCGTAGAACTGTCGGCACGGTCATTTTAGGATTTTCCCTCTGTTGTATATTCACAAAATCAGTTGAAATTGTCTTCACTAGGTTGCCTGCTAGTCAACCCACAAAAAGGAAACGCTGTCAGTGCAATAGGCAATGCAATTTCAAGTCCTGATTTCCGTTAAACGCTGTGCATCTTGCGTCATTTCCTGCCAAGGTTTCTGCCTTTGAAGCAGGCGCCAAAGAGCTCAGAGTACTCATTGCATTTATTAGCTAGGTTTTCAACTGAAATTATGCCCATACTAGATTTGTGTGTTGATTAAAATGAAACATACTCTAAGCTAACTACAGAAACACGGAGGAACATTAACTTCCAGCCTATCATCCGTCCGCTCACCTACCTCCGTCCTATGCGAGGTACAATTAGCCCTCTAGTAATGCGCAGAGTTTTCATTTGGTATGTCGTTCTAAATTTTGCCACTAGTTCGTAACAATAAGGCGCCTCGGCTTCATTTCCTGTAGTAACTTTGTAGGAAATTGTGTCTTCCTTAGCTTTTGACCCTGAGGGAATAAAGGTTCACATAATTATTTGTCCAATGAGGTATCTGCCCACCTTTTAACGTTTCTCCATAATTGAATATTGTTACCCAGATCTACTGCGTTTGCTTTTGAGCATATAAAGATTTGGAAAAATGCCGATTTCAGAGACTTAGACTCTTCAGTGTCCACGGTTTTATAATAAGCAGTAGTTGAAGACCTGCTTCTTTACGACTGCCGTTGGGTAACAGTGAATTCTTAGACAAACATAAAACTTAAGCTGAGATCCTGCTGATGAACAGATTCTTTTACGTTTTAGCAGGTCACTCGTTTGATTTCACTCGATCCTAAAGGAGTCTAATGAACTTTAGCAAATCAGATTTTCTCAACTTCTTCTCCCTCTGCGTATAAACTCTTTAAAATGGATGCGTTAACCGAAGGTATTGAAATATCGCCCCAACTGCGCGGAGCTTTACTGATCGTTAACTACGCTCTCAGTTAAAGTCTATGAAGGCTTGATATCTGCCGATAGTTTGTATACACAAAAGGGCTATTCAAAGCTGGAATGCACATAGGCACAGAAGCTACAAAACTGGTCGAATATAAGCTCATTTTTGAGCAATGGCAGGGAGATTAAGGTTAGAGTCAAGGTGTGGGTTGGGGTTAGGACGCGGGGACAAGTACCCTTCCTGGAATTTAATGCAAAACCACCTTTATTGCGAGGAGTTCCATTTTTCGTGTTTTGATTCAGTGGAAAAAGGACTACCGTTTCATTTGGTTAACGTATCCTGTAACCGGTGGGCCACAGCTACCGAAAGTCAAATGAGTCGAAGCCGATCAACCCACTGGGAGGCCTAATTAACCCTTCTATGACGCATGGTATTGAATCACCGGAAAACCTGTCATCTAACGATAAAAATAACCGTTCTTCAGACCTCAGTTGATTCTTATATCAAGGAACATTTTAAAGTAAACCTACTTGCTTAAAAACAATCTTCACGGTAAAAATCGATTCTTGTTCTCGTATCGCTTTGGCGAAATATAGTGTAAAAACAAATCGTTTTCAAGAAGGCAGTAGTGCTTCCGCTCTTTTAAATCTAATAATGCGCCGTTTTGCACTTAAGTTACGTAAAAAGTGCGACAGAATTTTTATTATAACATCGAAAATTAACGACCAAATACAGTTGTCCTAAACGTTACCTTAAAATAACGACTGCTATCTGTGCAGAAGCGAAAGTGAACGATGCTTTCATTGGTTTATCATTGTAGCTGTCGGATACTTCATCGCCAAATGATATGGACTCTAAATGCAAAATAAAACTCGCGTTATATTTTATGTTAATGGTCCCAATGAAACGCATTAGGGAAGGACCGAATAGGCCGTAAATTAGGTAGAGAGGAAAAAAACTTTTTATTGTCTAAAAATTAGGCTTTTTCGTTTGCCGACCAAAGGAATGTCCATAAATTCATGCACAAAGGAAATTTGTCAGTTTTTCCCGCGACATTGAGCGCCTATTTAAGCGAATATTCTACGACGATGTTGCAAAAGGTGTTCGCCGACACGGAAAACAGGAACTTCGCCGCAAGGACACTGAACATTTCCTCCCAAGAATCTACGAATCAGCATGGAAATCTGGGACGGGGGGTACCTCGCCCAACACCGGTAGGCCTGGAGAGGTGCGGGGAAGACTGGGGCAACAGTTTAAGTAGCCAAGCCGATCACCACTTCCAGACTCAAAAGAGCGACACGCTGGTCACAGACACCCCCGGTCCACAACATCGATTTCCAAGGCCGTCTAACACGCTCACACTGTCATCGTACACTCCGCGCACATATCGATTAGACCCAGTGCAAAAATAAACCGATAACTAAACCTGCTGCCTCCCCAAAAGCCTCATTGCCACCCCCGCACGACCCACATCGACATCCCTGACGTCAACCACCACCATCACAGGCACTTCTGATGCCCGATGTCGCCGAAGTCGCCGAATACCACCATCTCCATCATTACACCAAGAACCCTCGTAGTAATGGCAACATCTACCGCTTCTCCCACTCCCACTACTGATTAGGACACTACCGACACCAGGACAGGCTCACACTTACTATCCCGTCCCCAATACCAGTTATGCGAACTCGATTCCAACCTATCCTCATTGAGATCGCACCTTCCCATCCAGCGTCGGCCTGTTCGGTCACTTGCGACTCCATCGCATCGAGATCGGCGTACTAACGCCTGAAGCGCCAACATACACCCGCCGCTCTCGCTCCATCTGCTCGCACTGCCGATGTGTATTCAG